CTTGCATTCCTTCATCAGCATCCACCACAGGCTGCAAAGGCCTGCTAATCACCCCTTTATTTAAGTCAGGTGTATGGAGGGAAGGGGATGCATAAAACATGCAAAAAAGTGGGTCTTGAGGGCTAAGTTTGAGAACCACTTGCTTAACCTATTCTGCTTGGAGATGTCCTAATGCTCACCAGCTTCCATTGTTCAGCAAGCTCTGCATTGGTTGCTTTTCCATAGCTCAGCAGTGTAGGTGTAGGTCCTAAAATTTGCTGGACCATCTTCAAAATTATGAAAGCCACCTTGATCTGATCCAAAGAAAATAAACTGGACTTAGGTGCACTCTGATAGTCATGGAAACATTCCAAGAAGATAGATATCATTGAAAGAATACCACAAGGAATTCAGTTTTGTTCACTACAAGTCATAAAGAAAAAGTTCTAGTCAGAACAGAGCAACATTGAACAGTCATGCATGGGGGAAAACCAACAATGTGCATTGCCTTGAAAGCAATTCCCTCTATAGCATGGACAGGGAAGCTGTTTTGGAGTCGATAAAAAGAGGTACAGAGGGAAATAGCAGGTCTTGTAAGAATAATCTATCAGAGGCTGCAAAAATCTCAAGATCGCAAGAAGTTATAACCTGCACCAATGGATCAACACATAAAAAACCACAAGAGCTTAATGAAATTAGATCAAAGTATTCTCATGTTTTCAAACGGCCTAGTCAAAGTCCAGACCCAAATACAACTGAGAATCTGTGGCTCGATTTAGGAATGTTTTTCATAGACTTGCTTTGGATTGAAGGATTATTATCCAAAGATAGTCGATGGGCTGCTTCTAGTCCTTACCTAACATTTACCCATGATTTTGAAAACAATCAACAATAGTTACTAAACTATATTAAGGATTGATAAAAATCTATGTAAATAAGAGCCTATGGTGAATAAAAATGTCATAAAAAAGTACGAAGATTTCAGTTACATGAAAGTGTTATTTAAACCTAATAAACAAAACAAAAACAAATAGGATAAAACAGCCTGTTTTACCCGATTTTTGCACCTTATTTGATTACTTTAATCTTTCAGTCATGCATGTACAAAAGTCCTTTGAAACGCTCATTGTCACACAGTTTCCAAATTCCGAGCAGACGGACCTTGTCTAAAACTTCTATAAATAATTTAAAATATAATAAATATAATAATAATAATAATCCTAGCAATCTGAACCCATCATAGAATACTATCAGTCTCAAACCAGCTTCAGCTTTAGGGGTGTTATGTTGCTGAGCTTGCAGCTACATCACCTTGGTTTTCTGGGGGCGCTAAATGAATCAGAACCATGACTCATGAGTTTCCTGATATAACGCATCCAATATCTAAAGTAAAGTTCATGATAAAAACAATCACTTACAGGAACAAAGACGTCAACACACTACTCACCAATGAGCTGTTTGGGATTTTAGCTTTTCAAAGAAAGGGGCAGGAAATAGACCAGGTAATATGTTGATGATTTGATATCGAGTCTTAGAGAGAAGTAAACATATTTATTTGGATTTTCTGTTGTTTCCAATTTATTGGTATTTTATGTGACTGAAAAAAATCATTATATAGCACATAGTTGAACTGTTCTAGTTAAAAAGTTCAACTGAAACATCATTAGTTCAACGTTTTATTTTCTTTAGTCCAACTGTTTTTAATGTTCTTTTTTTTTGTTTCTGCATTTTTTTTCCTACTTGCTTTGATTCTGTTTTATTTTCCTATATTTTAATAATTTAAAGCACTTTGCATTGTCTTTGTACTGAATTGTGCTATATAAATAAATTTGCCCTGCTAAATATGGTTTTCATGTTATAAAATCTGAAATTTGTTACATCTATTTGTATTTAGCCTATTCTACCCAGTTACCCCAACATCAAATCCAGTTTGACGAAGTACTTTCTAAAGTCATGTAATTAATAAACTGATTTAATTTGTGATTAATTTCAAAATTACCAAGGTGTGAATGTTCCCCTAAACCGACAACATAGACTGTAAGAGCATGAATCAGAGAAGCAGCAGAGTTGGATGTTAATTCTCACTGAGAATTACTATGACAAACCAAAAGAGACCTAACCTATAGGGGACACTTTGGCCATTAAAATTACTATTCCAAAAATAGAAATGATTAAACATAAACATTTTCTTTTAGACATCCAACATGCAATGTCTGGTAAATACAAAAACTGCACCCTGAACAAAAAGAAGGAATCCAAATGAGAAGCATGGTGGTGTCAGCATCATGCTGTGGGGGTAATTATCATAATCAGGGATAAGGAAGTTCCTCTGAGGTGATCAATAGCTGAATGGGCCTAAATACAGTTCAATCCTTAAAAGAAACCTGTTGCAGAAAAAAAACAGAAGTTTATTCTCCAGCATGATAACTAAAGACTGAGAGTTCCTGGTTTCGACCATGAAAGTTAGAGCAGACCATTCAGAATCCAAATCTAGGATATTGTAGAGCTATTTTGATCTGAAAATAATCAATGGGCCAGAAACAATAAAAATTAGTTTCCAAATAAAATTTAAGCCAGAAAGCTAAGAACAAATGAACATAGCAGTTTTAGATTTTTATCAGTAACCTGCTAAAAACCATGCAGCTTTTACATGCTCTACATTTGTGCTAAACTCTAACTAAAGGAAAGTTTGTTACCCTTGTTAGGTATGTTTAACACCAACCTCTAGCCACCATTATTTCTACTTTCATACGGAAATAAAATCCACCAAGACCTTCAACATGTTAGATCAGAAATGTGAAAGCACCAATTAAGTTGCCAGCTTGCAGATTTTATATTTAAGATGCATTGGAGGGATAAAGCTGCAGCTGATGATCTAATCCAGCTTCCTAAATGTGCCAGTGGGTGTTTTTGTATATGTCATAATAAGAAATACTTTAGTTTTTAATTATATATGAGGTTTATTAATGATAATACCAGTACATCATCAGCTTATTCCTTTAAGATTTCATACATTTTTTTTTTTTTTTTACTAGCTCATTAAGGACTAATTATTAGTATCCGTCTATGACAAACATCTGGACCTGGTGAGCAGCAGAGAGTGCAGCAGGATGCCTGCAGCAACAGAGACATTCAGGGACTCAATGCCAGGAGACAAATCTCTACCGGCGGGGATGGTGAGGAGGGTTTGGCAGATGGAGAGGAGCTGCTTGGAGAGTCCGCCCCCCTCGCCTCCCATCAGCAGCATCGTCGGCCTGGTCACCTGAAAGTCTGAACACAGGATAACAGGAATCTGGTACTCCTCTGGATCTGCTCCCACTGTGCCAACCACTTGCCAACCATGGTCCACGTTCCTCCTCAACATGTCTTCCAGGCTGTCGCATCCATAAACTCCCATGACCTCCATAACGCCTGAGCTAGCTTTGCTGACCACTGGAGACAGCGGGCAACTGTGACGACGACTGCTGATCACCTTGTCCACGCCAAGGAAATAAGCAGAGCGAAGGATGGCGCCGAGGTTCATCGGGTCCTGGATCCTGTCCAGAACCAGCCAAACAGGGATGCTGGTGCCACTTGTGTTGGACTCAATGGCATCGGTGAGGAAGCTTAGAGGACTCGCTTGAAGGCACACTCCTTGGTGTACTCCTCCTGAGGACATCTTGTCCAGATCTTTCTTGCTGACCCGACTGATTTGCACCCCTCGCCGATGAGCCTCCTCACATACGGTTAAAACGGAAGTCCTCTGAGAGGTCAAACTGTCTTTAACCAGCAGTTTGTAAGCCTTTCTTCTCCCCTGAGTGAGAGCCATGAGACAGGGAGCAATGCCAAAAACAACTTCACAGGTCTCTGCTGGCTTTGGTCTCAGTTGCCTCTCCTTGTCTGCAGGGAAGTCTTCCAGACACAGTTTCCTGAGCTCAGACGATACCTTGAAGACACCAAAGTTCTCCTTCTGTGATGATAAAATCTCTTTCTTTGAGGATTTACTGTGGGTTGGCCTCCTACGGTCTGACATATCCTCAGATGTGGAAGGTTGATGTGGGACACTGGATTTAATTGGCCCTCTGTGGCGCTTCCTGGCTGCAGCGCCCTGGCCCATGTCCTCTGAGTACAGGAGAGAGGACCTTGCAGACACAAGTCTGCAGACTTTTCTACACCAGACAGGAATAAACCTGTGCTGATGGGTAGAGCAATAGAGCAGCATATTTTGACCTGCCAACAGGTACAAATAAAGCAATTAAATTTCGCTGAAAGGAAACTTGCCTGAAAAGATGTAGTCCACAAATCACCCCATCTAATCATACACCTTACAACGAGATTGGAGTGCAGGCGCAGACTAATCTTTTCTTCTTTTTAATCTGAACTGCAGACCTCTAAAGCTCTGTCAACATGTGCAAACCATGCTCTGTCAAGTAACTAAAGTTAGTGCCGGATATGACGCTAGACCTTTCAAGTTAAAGTTAAAAGCTGCTGATAATATTTCATTTGCAAACCATATGTGCGGGAATCAAACTTCTAAAATTGTTAGCAAATCTTCACGAGAGAAACAACTATTAAATAAAGTAACTAAATCAAAGAAGGAACTATCACAGAAATTATAAAGGGAAAAACACGCTAATTTCATCCATTCAAACAGTTAAATACAAAAATTAAGAAATATTTTTTTACCTTTCATTTTCTCTAAAGATGATCAATAATAAATTAAAGCAATGCCTCTCCACTCTGTTAGATCAAATAAATAACTGCTGAAAATCACCTATAAACCAGTATTACACAATTGTGATTTATGTTATATAATTTGTTGATAACAAAAAATAGATATGTACAAATAAATGGATTTTTTTTGTTATTTCCAGCTCGTTTCTTTTTCCTTTTTTTTCTGTAAGTGGGCGCGTATTGTTTCACATTTTATTTTGAAAGTCATTGCTCCACTCTACCATTTTCCGGTCACAACACTAGCTTGACACGCATGTCGCAATGGGAAAATTCATAGATATTGACGTCGTCCTCCGTGGCTACGTCACTTCCCGGAAGGGCAACGCTAGCAACGCGGAAGCGTTGGGAAGAAAACAAATAACCGTTTAATTTTGATCGGTATTGGGAGGTTAAGGAGACACATAAACGCCGTTTGACTTCTCGGTTTTTTGACTTTGACGAAGATTCTGCTTTAAGGTGAGTGGGATGAGGTTCGGTGTATCAAGTTAGAAAGGACCAGAACCGAATCAAACGGCTAAAATCTAACTTCAGGCCTTTTGGTCACATTACTAACTGCTGACTAACATTCGGCTTATGATTTAAGTTTAATAATAGAGTTAATGTTAAGGAAATTTGTTTTAGAAAGCAGTTTAAAGTCATTTTAAACAGGTAACTCCTTAGTTAACGTTTGGTCATGGTGGACAGACCGAGTTAAAAAGGAAATCCCCTCTTTTCTTTTTTTTAAAACTACCTACAGCTTGTGGTTGTGTCATTAATCCTCCGGTAAAATACAGGGGAACTTTTACACTTTCACGTTTCAGCTATAAAACCAACCCAAAGTCTTTAACTCCCGGACAAATAAACGATATTTATATTTAGGTGGGTGAATAGAGACGTTTTAAAAATTATGTTTGAAACAAGATGCTGCTTCTTAGAAACAGTTGTAATAATTTTAAGGCTTCTAAGCTTTTTTTTTAACGGTCAATATTGTGTTAAAAAAATGTTTTATTATCAAACTGTAGTTTTTGGGGGTTTATTGTGATATTAAAGGCTAATATAATAAAATTCAAATATTCTGAAATACATTTGTTGCACAAATTGAGTTAAGGTTTAGAACTAAAGGAACACCACCCTTTACTTAAAGTTTTGAAACAAAACATTTTAACTATAGTTGGCAAGCTGTCTGCCTGTTTAAGGTTGAATAGTTTCTGTTATTGTGTTGTATAAACATGATAAAGTTATTTTGATTGTAATTCTGCTCAATCTTTACACATTTAAACATGATCTGTGGGATCACATCACATCCAGACATGTAGAAAATCTTTTGTGGCTCGGTCTTGTTCTCTGTGGCCTAACAAAGAAAAAAAAAACTGGCCTTCAAAGACTTTCCTCTGGTTGTAATGATGTCATTGGTCAGGCGAGGAATGACTCATTGCACATGCAGAAAAAAGTTACAGGTTATTTATTAATTCTGTTTTACTTCATTTTTACTTTTACAATCGTTGCTTGTAGCCTATATCGTATGACCCTCTATATATGCCTTACAATATAGTATCATTACAATAGCAATTGCATTTATGAAAACCAGTTTCTTATTTTTAGTTTTTAGAACATTGTTTAATTTCTATCTTTACACAGATGGAGTTCCTGTTTGGGAAGAGGAAGACCCCGGAGGAGATGCTGAGGCAGAACCAGAGGGCGCTCAACCGGGCCATGAGAGAGCTGGACCGCGAGCGGATGAAATTAGAGCAGCAGGAGAAGAAAATTATTGCAGACATCAAGAAAATGGCCAAGCAGGGACAAATGGTGAGCAAAAAGGAAGAAGAAACAGTCAGGTGGGAGCAGCTGGACAGCAGGGTTCAGACTCGACTTTTCGGTCAAACGGGAAAAGAGCCAAAAGCCGATTGTTAGCGGGTCAACCCGGTTTTTAAAAAACTTGGTTTTCGGGGGGAAGCGGTAATAGATGTATAGATTAGTGGTGATCAGTTGGGCAAATGGAGAGAAATAGATTTTTTCATTCTTCAGTTGTATCAGAACTAGAAATTCCAACATTTGGTTTCCCTGAATGCATCAACTGAGAGTATGATTCACATTTTTTATTTAAATGAACATAAATAAATATTAAAAAATACACTTTGATTGCTGGTTAAAATTTTTTTTGGTAATTTCTTCACTTTCTTTAGTTTGTTAAATTATAAAGTTTGTTTTGTTTTATTTATTATAAAATCCAAGACCAGGCCTACAAAAAAAACAAAAATAATTTTATAATCAGTTCATTTCATACTGAACTTTGTGTGCTATCAATCTGCAGGACGCAGTGAAGATCATGGCCAAGGACTTGGTGCGCACGCGGCGTTACGTTAAGAAGTTCATCATGATGAAAGCCAACATTCAAGCCGTCAGCCTAAAGATCCAGACCCTTAAGTCTAACAACAGCATGGCACAGGCGATGAAAGGCGTCACCAAAGCCATGGCCACCATGAACAGACAGGTCCGTGCATCACAGCCTCTAATAAGTGAAGGAAAATAACATCACACCTTCCTGTGCTAATGACTATCACCCTTTCCTGACTCCCTCAGCTGAAGCTTCCTCAGATTCAGAAGATCATGATGGAGTTTGAAAAACAGAGCGAGCTAATGGATATGAAGGAGGAGATGATGAACGATGCTATTGATGACGCCATGGGGGATGAGGATGATGAAGAGGAGAGGTGAGGGACTTCAGTTAGCATCCTCTGCATAAACAGCCATACCCAAACTAAACAAACATAATAGATTAAGTCAAAAGTGATCATTTCAAACATTTCTTACTTGTTTTAGGTTTGCGGTCTACTTAGCATAAAGACTATTAAAAAAATGGTAATGGCTCTAATCGCTGATTTGAGAATTTAAAAAAATGTCTTCCCTTTGCATTTATGTGGTTTATTTGAGTTGCTGCTTGCAAAGATCAGATTCAGAATCAGAAATACTTTAATAATCCCAGAGGGAAATTACTTTGAGAGCCCCTTTAAAAATCCAGTTGTATCCAATATAGCTGTGTCTTTGCTCAAAATCAGTATTGATAATGGTTCAAGTTTTACTATTATATAATGAAAGAAAACAGAACATTTCAAGGGTTTTGTTTTACTCTAATCCAAAAGAAAAATTTGTCTAGAAACACGATAAATATTTACTAAGACAACAACCTATACACTAATACTTCCTGTTATTTTATTCCACCAATAGAAATGGATTCCTTACACTGCAAACTAGATATTCTAAGCTTTGTAGCCAAGCTTGCTCATAAATAAAGTTTAGTGAAAGGAAAAACTAAGATAGAGAAATAATAAGTAGGTAGAACTGCAGCCTTTGTTAATTTGAAATAAACTCTGGACCTACTACAGCAGGATTCAGCACCTGCCCAGGAGGCACAGGAGGAGTCATCCTTTATAAAGAACTTTGATAATCAAACTGTCTTCTCAGACTTTGGCTGCAGAGCTGTAACCAGTTAGACTTAACTACATTTAAAAGGGTAGTGATAAAATTTGCTTCAAGGGCAAACCATTGAGCTTAAAAATTAGAGAAGTCAAAGTCAGGCTTTTGCTAAAAAACAAAACAAAAAAAATATCAGAACACTTCATGCTCCCCTCTGCTGGTTTTTGCTTGCAGGGCTTTTGGATGTAAGGTTGTTTTTAAGGGTTATTTTTTGTTAGCTGTGAACAATAATAATTCATAACAGAAATCATTTTATTCAGTTTTTAAATTAAGATACTAAAATTGGATTTTCTTTTTTTTTTTTTAGCACCAGTGAAATAATTACTGTTAAAAAGCAAACCAGCTTCTTTTTAATCTTCTCTTTACCTCCCCCTCAGTGACGCCATCGTCTCCCAAGTCCTGGACGAGCTTGGTCTCAATCTGTCTGACGAACTATCAAGTAAGAAAAACCCTCCAATCGTTAGCATCTCAAATTTTTGAATGTTGTTTTTCCCGCGTTACTTGAATCCTTTGCGTTTCTTTTTCTGCTGCAGATCTGCCGAGCACCGGGGGAAGCCTTTCTGTGGCCGGAGGAAAGAAAGCCGAGCCTCAGGCCGCTCTGGCCGACGCAGACGCAGACCTGGAGGAGCGTCTGAATAACCTGCGGAGAGACTGAACGCGCAGGAACTGTCTAAGAGGCGCAGTTTGGCGAGGGTCATCATTACAAACGAACTCTAATCTCTGCGTTTAGATCCTTTCGGAGGCATAAGTGGCCGGCTTTCAGCAGGCGGTTCTATAAGGTGTATGGCTTTCTGTTTGAGGTGTTTTTCTTTATTGTATGTGCAATGTATCTTATCATTACAAGGGTCATCATCCTTCATACGTCTAAAAAACGCTTTTCTCCATTTTGACTCTGACGAATGATACAGATCATCTGTTCATACTGACTTCTTAAAGCACGATGTATTTACAATTAAAATCAACACTAATTACAGAATATTCAAGGAAACCCTATAGAAATATTAAAGGTTAAATTTTATATGACTGGCATGTAAATGTGTCGGTACATTTTGTACAGGAGGTGGGTTTGGTGTTTTGTTTTTCTATCCATATTAAAACGTTATCAGCATTTTTATTGTCCTTAAGTGTTGGAGATTCTAGTTAAAATAAAAAAAAGATGGTTTATTATTATTATTACTGACATTTGAAAAGGAAAGCTATGTTCTGGAAGACACTCCTGGTGATTCTTTAATTGGCGTTTATGAGATCTGCAGCATCCTCACTATAAATAGCAGTCAGTGGTGTTTTTGTTTATTTCTCTGAGAAATTTTGTTTTTGGATTTATTGAATAAATATTTTTGTTTCCAGTATACTGGGAAATGAATCAGTTCCACTTTTGTTTTAGAGACATCCATTATAATAAAGTTGGTTTAGAGTTTGGGGCTCTCACCTTCAGATCAAAGTTTTTCCATCCAAACAAGTGGACACCAGGTTCCTTTTATTCACCTGAGGGGCTTTTTATGACAATCATTGATTGTCCCTTTTTATTTTTCTTCAGTTTATCAGGTTAAAAGGTTGAAATCCAAACATTTGTTGCATTTTGCAATCTGGTGCTTAAAAGCTCAGACACCTCAGCTCCAAACTCTTTAAAGACATGCCCAGAATTTTGCTTTAAATGTAATTTTTATAACTTTCTGAAGGGAAAATTCGAAGGTGGAAGTTTGATTTAGACCATCAATCCATATGTACACCCAAAACAAAACAGTTGCTAATAGTAGTTCATTAAATTGAGATTAAAATAATGATTTAACCAACATGAAAAAGGAAATCAGGGGAAATGCCTCAGAAAAGAAGTTTAACCCTTGGGGGGAAAAAAAACTACAATATTAACATTATTAGAAGTAGATGTAGAGAAACTATGATATCCTATTTCAAATTATTTTCCTTTATACCTCATAGGGTACTCCCATATGGTTTAAATGTATTCCTCAAATAAATCACAGCTTTCAGTTAACGCCCTTAGCAAACAAAGTGATACCTTTAGAAAGTAGAGGAGAAAAACCAGACCTTTAAAACCAGTGAACCATTTATCAGGACAAGTTCAAATTTCCTGAAAATGTAAACAGAATATTTATAGGGGAGTGGTGACCTAGTGGTTAGAGCTTGGAATCATGAGGGTCTGAGTTTGAGCCCCTCTCATTCCCTCAGACTACCACTCTCTGAGCAAGACCCTTAACCTGCGATCGCTCCCTGGGTGCCCCACGATGGCAGCCCACTGCTCCCCAAGGGGATGGGTTAAATGCAGGGATAAATTTCTTCAATGTGAGATCAATAAAGTTTATTTACATTCCCTAGAGAAATAAAATGTATGATTATATGCTTATGGGCAAATCTATCTCTTGTTTTTGCCTCTAGTGGCCTTAATTTTTGCTGGAAAGTAGGGAGTGAAATGTGAGTGCTCTACCCCTTCACAAATTATACATATTTAAGACAAAATATGTGTCATAGACATGAATTTTATTCCAAAAAATTAACTGTCAAAACTGTCAATTTGTCAACGTACAATCAGAGCAATATTGTATGTACTGAACACTTCCAACATTAAATAATAAAAAAATAACAGCAATGTTTTATTTACATTTGTTTCTGAAAGTTATGTACAGTCAAAGAAAACTTTAAATTTTATTTCCAAACCTTGCTTTGATGACAGAACAGGTGGAGCAACCAAGAGAGAAACCTATGGTTGTGATCATGAGCGAGATTAGCTCAGAGGAGACGGGCGGCGCCTTTGAAAGCGTACCAGCAGCTAGAACTACAACAGAAAGCCTTTTAATCACCTAAAACATCTCCGACCGAGCAGAGCAATGCATGCACATAACTTGGCTATTATTACTGGATGCAAATGTGCTTTTAAGGTTGGAAACTGAACAGAAATCACCTGTAAGCACAGCTGTCTGATTTTATAAAAATCATGCTTTCATGTAGAACTTCTTTAGTTTTAGTAACCCAGTGGGAAGAAAATATTCTTCTTTTTGCAACAGGTAAGCAGTGCATGCAGCTCACATGAAAAATAAACCAGTTTCCCAAGTGTTGTCACTTTTTATACTGTTTTCAAGAACAACCCCTCAGATCATCTGTTTCTTTATGCTGAATTGGCTTATGATTATTCTATATATAGTCATGCTGTTTGAAAACCCTTATATCACAGTTAACATTGATAAAATCGTATTAAATTTGTGTGCAAACAGTAAGAGCAACACGGCACTGAACAGTCGATTTTTGACTTTTTTTCCACTTAGGCAAGGAGAAAAGCTAATCACAGCATGAACAATGTGGCTGGACTGTTTGTGATGAAGAATTAAGCTCCTCTTTGTGTAAACTGAGGACAAAGTTTCGCCCCAACATGCTCAGGATGAGAACCCTTTTCACATCAGAACATTACGTATCAAACCCGACTGAAACTCAAACTTGGAGCGATAGAAAAAACAAACTCTTATGGCACATTTTGAACAAAAACATGCTCTGAACTTTTGAATGAACAGCTGCTAACATGTCACCTATATTCCTGCCTCGTTTTATTCAGGTTTTCTCCAGGAAATTAGTTACTTTGTGGGTTTTTGCAACCACAGACTGAAAACAGCAGCTGCCCACACCAACATAATCCCCCAGAACCAATTTGTAAACTTTTTTTTCTTTTTAAATTCAGGCTGGGGGTAGCAGCATCCTGCTCTCATTGTGGTTCAGCCTTCACTTCCGACAAGTTCGGTGAGGCGTGTGTTTCTTGGGAACCTCGATCCGGCATCGGCTTCGTTCGTCCAGCCAGGGCAGCTCGAAGTTCCTGGAGTGGAAATAAATAAATCGTATCAATTTCCAAACTTATGGTTAAACGAACTTGTAAGAATAACGTTTGCTTTTAAGTCATTTGGCATTTCAAAGGTAAGTAAAGATAAAGAAGACAGGGATCAGCTTTCATGTAAGTTTTGGGAAAGATTTCATAAAAGCCTCAAATTTCCAGGAGTTATGTTTTAAAGTTGAATAAAATGCAGTTTAAGCTTTTTTCTTTTTTATATATATAAAAAAAAGACAGAATTTAAAAGGTTTTTCTTAGCAGAATAGTAAAACAAATGGCATTTTTAAAAATTTGCTCCTTAAAAAACAGTTTTTATTAGAATTAAAACAAGTAAAAATCATGAAATACTAGCCTTTTTCTTAAAAAAAAAAAAAAGATCAGAGATCATTTGTTTTTTTAACCTGATGAAAATAATGTTGCTGAAATGAAATTTAATCAGAATTTAACTTTAAGACAAAGTCTTTTATGATTTATGACAGCTTAACTAATCATTAGTTACTAACAAATTTAGATCAAAATAAAGAAATCTAATAAAGCTGCGGTTAAAATCCTTCCTCCCAGAACCTCTAAGACTTAATAACCATCACTGCTACCAACAACCTCAATAAGTTGTTACATTCATGCTGATTTTGCATAGTTTCTATCGTAGTCAGTTAAATAAAATGCTGCTGACATTTTGCACATCTCTGATGTTTCTGCTATTTTCAAATATCCATTACTGTAAAAATGTCCATAGCTGGATATTGGTTAATTATTCTCCAGTTGCACAGTATTTATATTGTTAAAACACTTTACCGTACTGTATTTTATTTCTTATTTTTTTAACTCCTCACTAGAATGTTATTCTTACTCATTTTTCCTAAGATCCATATTTGTGTGACCATTTTTTTCTATAATCTAATATCCCCATTGTGGGACATTAAAGGGATTTCCCATTCTAGTCTATTCTAAATACTGCTGTTACATTGGTTTGACATGTGACTGTAATCTTTTTTTTTCACAGTTAGTATGGGCTTAAATTCACTTTTAACAAAAGTAGATAAAAAAAAATAAAAAAAACAATCTTATATAACCTTTTCAATACAGGTCTTAAGCAAATAAATAAACCAAAACAAACACCAAAAACCCTGGTGACTTACTGCTGGGAGAGTCTGGGCAGCGGCCGACCAAATGCAACCACAGGTAAGAATGGAGTGATGACTATCGCTTCAACTAGAACAGACAGAAGGGTTTCATTTGAAGATGAATCCAAATAAATTGTTCTATACAGAAGCCTGAACTCTGCTATGGTGGTACCGTCTTCAGTGTCGGGGTAGAAGGACGACAGCTCGGGCTCGGTTTCCTGGACGATCTTCTTTCTGTTCATGCGCTGTTGCAGACGCTGGAACATGCGCTGCTCCCGAATTCGCTGGATATCCCATCTGAAAACATTTAAGGAGCAACTGCTAATTAAAAAAAATAAAACATGCCACAGGAGGACGATTTAAAGAAAATGAAACGAGATAGACAATAGATGAAGAGTTTAGAAAGGGCAGACTATTCACTTTTATATTTAAGTCCAAGTCTTAAAAAGTTTTCTTTTTAATGCCAATTTAAAGAGTAAATTCAATAAGAATTCATGTTGATAAGCGATATAACCAGTAACACATAGCCCCACCCTTACTTAAATGTTTATTAAACATATGGAATGTCCACTGCTGCTTGATAGCCTAAACATGATCAGGTTTCTTCAATAATATTGTAATAACTTATTTAAACAATTTAAGCTAAAGTCCTGTTTAAATTTTATATTTCATTTGAAAAGAACACTATTTTTGCCCAAGGGTACTAACCTACATGGATTATTTCCCACTATATGCATTATCAGGTCTGTTGTTACCTTTTCCTCCTCTTCTCGTCCAGCTCCAGCTTTGCGTGACGTTTCAGAAACGCGCCGTCATCCAGCGGCTTGAGGTGAGCAAAAGGTCACACATTTTATTAAAGTCTGAAATGCTCTCAGACCAAAGAGGAGACAATTTAAAAATGTTCCCTTTCAACTTTTCTCTCACCTCAGGGATATTACTGGCATCCTCATCCAAAGGCTCTATGTGGTTTTCCCTCCAAGAGGGGACTACCACGCAGGAAGATAAAAAAAGGAGGGAAGTTATTCATAGATTGTGCATCCAGCAGTTTGGATTGCTAAAGTGATTGAAGTTGGGATTTAGGTTAGGCTTACAAACAATCAGCATATCATGAACTACATGAGGAGTCCACTCACTGGCCACCTCTTCCTCCTTTTTAGGGGAAGTCTCACGCAGAGGGGACAGAGGAGGTTGGTTCCAGCAACAGAGATACATCTCTGTGGTTGACATGAAGGGCAGGTCCTCCATCTGGCAGCTCAGCTCAGGCTCCTCTTTACAGGGAAGCAAAACGTCTCTTTCTGCACCGGACCTGCCTGGAACAGACTTCTCTGGGGTTTCCTTACTCCGCAGCTCTCTTTGGTTGGGAGACCCGGGCTCCGTCTCAGACTTTTGGGGGCTGAGTTTTGCACTTTTAGCGCGAGATTTTTGAACCTTCGGATCCGTGAAGCAAGATTTCCTGTATGTGCAACACCCGATAATTTTAAACACGTAACACACAATGTTAAATGTGTCTTTTATTTTGTTTATTTTACCTCTTTTGACCTTTGCTGAATGGGAGAGGAGTGGCTGCGTTGGGCTGTGGACTTTCCTCTATGTCCAGGTCCCATATGTCCTCTTTGTCAGGTGTCCACGTCTCGAGGGGCTGAAAAAGGCGCTTATCACGGGGTACATCCTTCCTTGTGAGCTGGAGGCGACGTTCCATGCGCTCAATGCGTGCAAGCAACTGTAGATAAAAAAGTGAAAGTTTGCTAAACATATGTGGGATATAAAAGCTGCTGATAGAATAAATAAATTTCACGCACCATCTCCTTATCGGCCTTGAGTTCATCAATCTCCTTCTCCTTGGATTGCAGCTGTTGCTGCTGCTGTTCAATGAGGTCCAGCTGTAGGAGGAGAATCTGTCGGAGGCAGTTGGCCTGTGCATGCGGACTGGCAGGGGTCTTCCGGATGTTCTTCCACTTTCCTTCAGATGAGAGTTCAATGGAAGCAGTCCCGAGAACTCCAGGAACAACCCCTTTGGTGCCATCATCAGCACCAGCATCCTTTGAATTATTGTTCACTGCCATCTGAGGGTTATCCATGCTGTCAACAGAGAGGGGTTTACCTTTCACCGGGGTTCCCTCACCCCCCATTGGTCTGACAGGGGACGTTATCCCCACCTGTTTATCTCCCTGAAGCGTTTCTGGAGCTGTGGCAGCAAGTGCGACTTCGCTTGTCATGAAACTCTGATCTAAGTTTTTCGATCTGCTTGGGATCTCCCCCCTGCGAACGTCCTGGACATCAATAACAAAGTCGCAGGGCTCGCTCTTCACGCTCACGGTGTTGACCACGAAGTCTTCCGTGTCAGCCTTACTTTTAAATGCCGGTTGTAGAAAGTGTTTGGATCTCAGAGTCATGGCGAACACGACCACTTCTCATCCTGCAGCTCCACACCGACTCCCCATGTGGACGCAACAGCTGCAAAAAAAAAAAGAGAGAGCAAACATCAGTCAATATACAGATATTTGTATAACAGACGCCCTGCTTTGTGTATTAGTTTCGAAGGAACAACAAACATTTAAAAGGAAATATTCTGCCAAATTAGAGTGTGCATCTTTTTAAAAATCTCGTACCGGGTTTGAAATTTCATACTTTGTCGTGTTCGGTCTGCGATACAACAACTCAGAAGCAAACCTTTTACTTATAAAAGAATATAACCTCGTATTTCTCCAGCAGGGCAGACATTTTATAACTGGTTCTTCGGGAGTGGCTCTGTAGGACACAGGCAGCAGCAGCCAAGCTCCTCCATTTTGGTTCTCATGAAAAACAATAACAGCCAGCTAGCTGGCTAACGTTAGCCTCTCTTTTATAGAGCAAATTGTATCTCCGAGGCGAACAGCGTGTAATAACCAGGTCTTAACAGTCGACTTAAACCCCAACCGCTTTTATTAACATGTTCCAACGACTCTCTGGCTTACCTCGACCATATCAAGAGTGGGGCTTCAGGTTGTCTTCATGTTCCCTCCTCAAGACTTGTTTTAAAACGCCGACTACGGCGCATGCGCAAACGGTTGGATGGCCATTTCTCGAGTTTTGGAAGTGTTATTCCGAATGTCACCGCTAGGGGGGGTACAAGCAGGCCGGTATGCTGCATTATTTAAGCGATGACGCAATACTGTTACATATCTACGGAAGAGGATTAGGGACAATGAAAAAACAAAAAAAGTTATCTGATTTTTATTTTTTATTTTAGTATAACATGAGAAAAAAGTCAGAACTCTGACTTTAATTTCAGAATTCTGACTTTAATATCAGAATTCTGACTTTTTTTCTTGGAATTCTGACTTTTCATCAATGTGTTACTGTACTTCAAAAACATCCTCAAAAAAAACAAGGGTGTTTTTTTTTTTCTTTAATAAATGTACTGTATGGGGCCTTAAGATAACAATATGATTGAGTAATTGAATATTTCTTACATTTATTGCCCTGTGTTTTGAATTCTAAATTCATATAAACTGAAATAAAAATCATAGTAATGATCTGTACAAAGAAGTTTGAAAACGAGTTAGAAAGTATTATACTACAATTATTGTTACAGTGGTAAGCTAATTATGTTTATGTTTGTTGTTTCCATTTATAAAACATAAATTAAATAAGTGAGAATATCATTTAAACATAGAAAATGTGAAGAAAAACGTTCAGGAAATGTTAAAACCAAGAAAATTAGCTTTAAAATATTATGAATTATTTCATTTGAATAAAAAGATGAACAAGTATTGATTTGCTATAGAATTTAAAATGTTTTTTTTTCCCCCAACTTTCTTTAATCCAGAAATTTACCAAGTATGGCAAGTAAAAACTGTGTAAATCCACAATAGGTATGACAGAGGCATTCTGAGATATTTAAGCAACAAACTTAAACATATAGAAATTAGGATAATGCAACTGAAAAAGAAAGAAAATGTACTTAATTATAAACAAAATTACAGAAAAAGAGTTAAAACTTTGTAATTACAAGGGGGAGGGGTGACTACATTTTAGGATTAGTACATATTTGTTCATAATCAATTAAACTTTCTCAGGTCTTCATATTATGTATGTGTTTCTGAAATTTTAAATATGAGTAAAATTGTAAAAAAAAAAAAAAAGGAAAAAGCTAGTGAGGATATATTTATTTATGAATAAAAAATATGCTCTACTAATGATCAGATTACAACAGAGCCCTTTTTTTTGTTCTTCAGTATTATTTCAAATGTTATCATACCACTAGAAAATATTCTGGAAGTATAATTGTTGGTCTGATCCATAATTAAATTTTATTACAATACAAATTGTCACCATAATAGAAAATAAAGGCAATGTTATTTACACAAAAATTGTATTTACTATCCTTAGTATTAAACCGGCCCATTAGTAATTCTTTAGCGGGGTAAATTATTTTTACAATTTTAAATGGCCTTTTTTTTTTATTTTGGATGTACAGAAAGTTACAGATATATACGGTATGTTTGTTTTCAGATTTCTAAAAAAAAGTCCAGTATAATAAAACTTGTTTATGAAACTATGATAGTTTAATGGGCAGTTGATTTATGTTAAAACCAGTTATAAGAAGATACAGAAGAGGATTAGGGCCACTGGAAAAAAAAAGTGAACTGATTTTTAAATATTATTTCAGTTTAATATGGGAAAAAAGTCAGAATTCTGACTTTAATCTCAGAATTCTGACTTTTTTCTTAGAATTCTTTCTTGTTCTCAGAATTTTGGATCTCAATGTAGATGAGCACCATTGGGAGGCCCAGTAACACATTGGTGAAAAATTATGGAATTAGGCGACTTTTTACGTGTTCGAGTGGTCCCCGGTGATGCTATTTCATTAATGGAAGAGCAGAAGGTGATTAAAACAAGAGAGCTAGTCTCTAAAACAGATGGCTACAGTCTAATGCTAATGCGTTTGTTAACTGTCAGAATTCTGAGATTAAAGTCAGAATTCTGACTTTAATCTCATAATTCTGACTTTTTTCCAGTTTTAAACTAAAATAAAAATTAAAAATCAGTTAACTTTTTTTTTTTTTTTCAGTGGCCCTAATCCTCTTCCGTAAGAATAAGCTTTAAGCCACATACTTAATTAAAATTTTGTTACAGCATTAGTTTACATATACAAATGTAGTTTAATTGAAATGTTTTTTTAAACATTTTGACTCAGACCATGTTCATATCATACGATTTTAACATCCCCTTTAGAATATATTTTAATACATTTTTAATTTAAGTCATTTTGCTGATAATGTAAAAAAAAAAAGCAATAACTTCCGTTAATAAGAATTACGTATTTCCGGTAGCGGCTAACTACCGGAAGTGCAGTCTGCATTTAGAGATTCCTCATTGTTTACTATGAAATAATATCTATATGACCTCTTCGTGTGTCATTATAACCTAACGTTGAGATCGTTGTATTGATCTTTTAGACCAAATTTCTAAAGAATGCATCGTAGAGGCGTTGGGGCTGGCGCTATAGCCAAAAAGAAGCTAGCAGAGGTAAGATTTATGCATACTCCATGTAACTTTTCAGGGACATGTAAGTATAGTTTAAATGATTTTGGTAAGACTTGAATACTTGCTTTCAGATTGTTTGATCAGAAAAATCCCATATAAAGAACCAAGGGGAAACGGTGACAAATATTCTAAACTATCTAACCTAAAGAGGAATATAAATGCACATACTGGTGAATCCTCCATTCTGTTGTACAACTGTCTTGTAAAGATAATGCTAAGATATTTTAATATTGTTTTTCATTTCATGAAGAATTTATCTTTTTAATATACATTTCTTGTGCATTAAAAGAACAAATGACTTGTTCAATGTCCACAGAAGCAATTTTACGGATGTAAACAAACAAACAGAAATCAGATCAGAGCTCTAGACATTAAGATGTTTATGATTTTGTTTGTTTTTATGAGATGATATGATCAATCCTTACTAAAGGTTTTGTCTGTGATGCAAGGTTTTGATAATAATGAATTTATATCTACTTGAACTCTATTGTAATCGATCTTTATTGACCACCATCGACACCATGAAACATGGTGGCAGCAGCAGTGGAATGAGTTTGATCAAATGATCTCTACCAAGGCAGAAGCCAGCTGCTATTTTTGACCAAAGGATCTACTTTCTCCTAAGATGACCTACTGCCAAATCTATTGCATCCAGCCTCTCAACACCCTTTTTTCAATAAACCTTTTTTTAATCATCATCTATTGGTTCAGCAAAGAGCTTTCAAACATAAGTCATTAAAGAACCTAAATAAAACAAGGATCATGCTTTTGGAAGCCATAAAATTAATAGATAAACTCTCAATGTGCGCCTTCAATGTGCACAAGTGTTGAAGTGTTTTTGTTGTTTAAAAGGCATATTGTCTGGTTATTTTTATATTTTTCTAAATATACTAATCTACAGTTTTCTGCAAGTTTCTTGCCATTCTGATAGAAAACGATTATGCCTTCATGCTTTACTTTTAAGGTTGCTATTTCTCACATACCAATGCAATTTGAAATAGATCACTTCAATTAAAATAAATAGTTAACTTCATCCTGGCATTGAAATACTGCATTAGGTTCTGGATTAATAGACATAAATCATCAGCCTTGAAATCTGCAGCCTGTTAACCATATCAGGTTTTTTTTCCCTCTATAGGCCAAATACAAAGAAAGGGGAACTGTACTTGCAGAGGACCAGATAGTTCAGGTGAGCTTGCATGTTCTTCCTTGTAATTTTCTTCATGTTTGAGTTTGTCTCACTTGTTATAATGCATTTTGAATGTCACCTTTCATTCGTTTCATTACAACCACAACAATTGTTTACAAACAACATTCCAGCTTTGGCTCAGTTTTCTACACCTGCATTACAAAAAGATTCCTCGGTTTATTTTCTGGCCTTAACAAACAAACCTTACTGAAATCAAGGCTGTGTATTTTTTATTTTTTGTGTTAATTATTTTGGAGAGCTTAATGTTTTTTCACTAAGGTTTGAATCAATGTTTGAATCAATGTCTTTTGGGGGCCAGATGTCGAAGCAGTTGGAAACGTTCAAATCCAACCTGGAGGAGTTTGCCAGCAAGCACAAACAAGAGATCCGCAAGAACCCCCAGTTCAGAGTCCAGTTTCAGGAGATGTGTGCTACCATCGGCGTTGACCCACTTGCTTGTAAGAAAATCCAACCCCTTGTGTTTTAACTTTTCCTTCACTTAAATCTCAAAGGAGCTGCAACTAAAACTGTGAAAAATGTATTTTTTCCTCCACAGCTGGTAAAGGCTTTTGGTCTGAGATGCTTGGTGTTGGTGATTTCTACTACGAACTGGGCGTACAAATCATTGAAGTCTGCCTTGCCCTGAAACACAGAAATGGAGGTTTGAATTTGGTTTTTGAAAGATGAATCCATAGTAACCCTTAGCTCTGTCTTTAATATTGCAGATACAGTCATTCACATGAGAGCGACAGGGCTTTATAAAATATTTCATACCCTCTAAACTTTCACAAACATTTTAAATGCCTTCTTTAATGCTTCTATAAGAAAATGATGTCAGCACCTTTTTCGAACAGTAGTGTAGTAGCAAGTCTTCTATAAGCCCTTCTTTTAATTCCCTCAAACAGTCCCTCTGTGGAACATGTTGGTGGCAGCATTATGCTGTGTGCATTCGTTTCTTAGAAGGAACAGGGAAAAGTGGTCATTGTAGATGGGAAGATAAATGGAAAGATGGCGTAAAATCTTAAAGTAAACTTGTTTAAGAAAATAAAAAAAATTAATCATGAATCCCCGTAAAATAATGTGAAATTTAAGGCTGTAACGGCACGGAATGGAAAAAAAGTTCAAGTTGGTTTTTGTTTGTTTTTATTACAGGTCTTATTACTCTGGATGAGCTCCACCAGAGAGTGCTGAAGGGTCGTGGTAAATATGCGCAGGATGTGAGCCAGTAAGTTCTTCCAGGCGTCACATTCTGTTTCTTCTGTTCTGCCGTCATGTTTGTAATTCATGAAGTGTACGTCGTCTGAGCAGCTACCTCTTCTGTTCCTCAGAGATGACTTGGTCCGGGCCATTAAGAAACTGAAAGTGATGGGAAGTGGCTTTGGGATGATCCCGGTTGGCGGTTCTTACCTGGTCCAGTCGGTTCCTGCAGAACTAAACATGGATCACACTGTAGTTTTACAGTTAGCTGAGGTAAGACAAAGCATTAAGCTGATTTTATTTATTTAGTTTTCCAACTACAGATTTAAATCCGTCTGTAGATAATTTTTAAGCACCGATTAAGACAATTTATGGTTCTGTTTGACTCCTTGTCATTTAGTTAAGCTAATATTAGCTGTTGGAAGTCAGATACTTTAACCTAAGCCACAACATAAACATAGGAAATACAGAAAGGCAGCGTTCTAATGCATCCATCTTTAATCTCAAATCATGCGGTTAAGTTCCTTAAGGGTACATATACATGTCGATTTAGAGCACATTCTTAAACTGAGCTGGGAAACAATAATTCATTAATCTAAATAGATTTTTTAATATATCCAGACTGATATTGAAGTTACCAGACATTACCAAACATCTAACTAAATACACCCCTTAATGAGAAAATAAAACATTTGAAATCTTAAAGAAGATTTTCATGCATTCTGAGTTTAAGGTATTCTTAAATGAGAGTGCTTCCAATTTAGAGGCATCTAAAACAAACAAACAAAACAAAATCAACCAGAAATCGAAGTAAATGCTTAAAATCTGACAGTTTTTCAATGTTATGCAATAAAAATCCTTTTATATAAATGCAGAAATTGCATAAAAATATGAGGCTTGGAACCAGTTATTACAAACTCTATATATTGTGTGTTTTTGGATGCCTGTTGTGGAAAAAAAAGGCCTTTAGGCATTGTTAGGTTCAAAAATGTAGGTTTTTAAAACAAGGACTGAGTTCACACAGAGATGGATTTTCAACAACAGCTTCAGCAGAAGGGGAGAAAAAGCTGCAACCCAACTTTCCAACACTCTCCCCCCCGGACCTCCTCTTCAGAGCGCTTTTATTAACAGAACATAACACATGGTTACAAAACAGAGTATTGTTCTGACAGGACAATTGATCAGGTCATAAGACAGAGTGAAGCATCTAATTTCTCCAATGTTTTAGTTGTACATACATTAATTTTATGATCATCATTGAATAAACCTAACAGGCATTTGGTTGAATTGTCTATAATTTAATAAGCAAAAGCACTTCTATTATTTTAGCTCAGAACATGTTGACCCTGGGTTATCCAGGGCTGACTATATGTACTGATATTACAAGGAAAATTTTGATTTCCTATTCAGTAATATTAAGTGACACTCTGGCTGTTAGCATCTGTCTTTGGTTTCTAAAAATAATCAAATTTTCAAAGATTTTTTTTTCATCAATATACAGTCAAAAGCATTGGATCTGACTCCAGTATTCACAGACTTTGGATAGCACAGGTTTGATGCCGTTATGATTATGGAAAGAACACAAATTATTAAATTTAAATTGAATTGTATTCGTTTTTTAAATTCAGGAAGACCATTAATTTCAACAAATCTATTTGAGTCACATCCAATTAGATTAAAATGCCTGTGGCAGTTTTTATAATGCAATTACTGAACTCCATTGATTACATATCAGGAGTGTTTTGCAAATATTTCCGATCACTTTGAATTTTTACATTTATATACTTTTACGGTATATAATATACTAGACTATCAGGTTTTTTTCTACTCTAAATTTTCGAGCCTGATGCTGTCATTACGTCAGCTGTTGCTATCAAAACAAAAATTATTTTATAAACCTTTTTAAAACCATCAGCTTGTGGTTAAAATTCATTTATTGAGAATACATTTTTTCATCAAAAGCATTGCATTCGACTCCAGTATTTACAGACTTTGGATAGGACAGGTTTGATTCCATTATGATTAAGGAAAGGACACAAATAATTAAATTTTAATTTGATTGTAATAGTTTTTTAAATTCAGTAGAACATTAATTTCAACAAATCTTTTTGAAATGAGGAAATCCTACAATTAGGTCCTGCCTATTAGAACAGTGCTTTTCAACCCTGGTCCTCAAGGCACACTACTCTGCATGTTTTGGATGTTTCTGAGCTTCAGCACGCCTGATTCAGATTGCAGTTCAGCAAAGCCTGATAATCTGCTATCAATTGATAACAGGTGTGTGAAAGCTGGGAAACATCTAAAACATGCAGAGCAGTGTGTCTTGAGGAATAGGGGTTGAAAAACACTGCATTAGAGCAACCTCGGTCCTGAAGGACCGGTCTCCTGCAGGTTTTAGAGGTTTCCCTGCTTTAGCACAGCTTATTATGATGATTGCAGTAAACCAAACGCCTGTTAATCAGCTTTCAATTAAAATCAGCTGTGCTGGAGCAAGAAAACCTCTAAAACCTGCAGGACAGCGGCCCTCGAGGAATGAGGTTGGGGATGCCTGCATTAGAGCATGTCGAAGTTCCTGCTTCCTCTCAGGCTCAAAGGCTGTCTCTTCTTCTCCTAGTTTACCATGTCCCTCTGATACTCTTCATCATCTCTCTGTCCATCTGACAGTTCCAGGTTTGAATCTTGGTCCCCTGTCATGAATAGAATCTCTTCTACTTCACTTCTATCTCCTACAGCAACGTTCAGTCATAAAAACACTGAAACTGACCTACTGTCCACTACAATAGTTTATAAAAGCGCTATTATATTAAAAGTGAAATCATTAAACTTTTTCAGAACTAAAAAAAATAGATGTTGATTTTTTAATTAACAAGAATATATAAAGTTATCCTGGTAACATAGTAAAGAAATGAAATTATTTGACATGCCACCCTTCTTTTTCCATAAAATGTTGCTAAAGGTTAGACAGCCATTTTGATTAAGGAAAACAGGGGGTTTCCAGCATGCACACCTATAACACAGACACATCACTAAAAAAGGCCATGATGTCCTCTAAAGAGTACAGTAAGACTGGATTAGCTAATGCTAAATATCAAAAGATTATTAGTGTGAACACAATTTCCACTTTAATAGGAGAATCCAAGTCTGTTGTCGACTCAGGTTAGATTTTTGTCCCTTCATTAAATTCTGAATCTGGAATTCGATTGATTCAGATACAGATTCCTCTCTGTACTTGAATCACATGACCATAGTTTGGATGGACCAATAAACACAGAGCTGAGCTCCTTCAGCACAAAAATCTGCCTTTTCTGATTTCCTGTGTGGAGAATGGTGGTTTTTTTTTTCAGAATGAGAAGATTGTGTCTCTTCGCTGCCAATTAAAATCTTTTTTCTTTTCTTTCTCTCCTGGTTTGTAGAAAAAGGGATACGTCACAGTGAGTGAGATCAGAGGCAGCTTAAAATGGGAGAGGGAACGAGCATGTCACGTGCTGGTGAGTGCATAATATCCAGTCTGCTTATCAAACTACAGCATAAAAACATGAAACTTACTGCAACTTTTTCCTGATGTGAAGGTCATTATTAGAATGCAAAATGTGAGGAAGTATTTAAATCTTTATCGCACCAAAAAACCTCATCACATCCTTATTTACTCAAATAATTTACATTTTATGCTAGGATGTTTCTGTTTATCTAAAAATGTGAGCTATAGTTTATTTTGTCTGAAAATCCATGTCTTATACAAGATAAGCCTTTACCTTTCTGCTTAGAAAGTGAAACCAAGGTAAGTTTAATTTTATTGCATAATTCACTTTTTCTTTCACTTATGCTGGATCTTTTGTTTTTAGTAATTAAATGGTTTTATTTTTGAAAGCAGGAAATCCCCTCATACCTAATAGTATCCTCATCAGTATAAACAGAACATGTAAAGAGACCAAAAATAAATGAACATGCAGAATGAGAAACCTCCATAAAACTGTGTTCCAGTGATTAATTTCTTTAGAGCTAAATATAAGTTACCTAAACAAAACATGAAACCCCTGCAGGACCAACGTGTTCTCATATTCTGCATGTCTGACTCCTCGTATTTCCAGGATCATCTGCTAAAAGAAGGTTTGGCTTGGCTGGACTCTCAAGCAGGCGCAGAGGCTCAGTACTGGCTGCCGGCGCTCTTCGCTGAGTTGACCTCACGTGATGTCACGCCAGAGGAAGCCAATCAGATGACGCCTTAGGAGGATCGTTTTATTGGTTCACAGGCTGGAGGTGATGGACTGGGTGTAATCCCACAAGGATCCGTACAAGAGGGGGCTCTTTTTTTTATTTTTTTTATTTCCCTCCGTCACAGGCACCTCTTGCGTTGCCAAAGTATTTGCGCACCGTGAAAATTTTTAGATTTGTCAGATTACAGCCACAAACAGTTCGGTTCAATTCAGTTTATTGTATTGAATCCTTCCTTTTCATCAGCTCTGACCAGTTCTCCTTTCCCAGCTGAAGAAAACTATCCCCCTGGTATGTTGCTGCCACCACCATGCTTCACCATGGTAGAGGGTGTGTTCAAGGAGAGGAGGAAACTGGAAACGTTACAGGGGTGTGAAAATATTTCAAACACTCTGTTACTTCTGTGTAATCTCTGGTGGAGTCTTGCTTTTTTGGTGATTGGAGAATTTCTTAATGGTATACACATGTAAAAAAAAAAACTGTTTAAAAAAAAAAACTTTACACCAACTTTGTTGTATTAGTTTTTATTTTGCAGCACAACCACCTGAAAGTTTTTCCAGGTAAACACATGAGCTGATCATTCACCCATTTTCAACCACAACATACTTGGAATTCATCAGGTCATTAAATACAGCAGACCTAGATTTATTTTTTATAAAATAAAGTTGCAAAGCTTTGATAAAAATAAGAACTTTTAAATGCTGCTTAACCTGTTCTATCAGGTTTTGTTATGCTAAGCAGTAAGCTTTACCCAACAAAGATTCCCAAAGATTTTTCAGCCTAAAAAATACACTTTATTTACTTTTGTGTGTGTATGTGCGTGTGTGCAACCAATGTTCCCAGTTAAACCCCTGAATTATAATTCCGGTTTGGTGTTTGAAGATGGTGATAATTAAAGCTAAACAAAATATATTTGTTCAAATTTTCTGTAAATTTCAAGTTGCATCCAATTAGATTAAAATGCCTGTGGCAGTTTTTATAATGCAATTACTGAACTCCATTGATTACATATCAGGAGTGTTTTGCAAATATTTCCGATCACTTCGAATGTTTACATTTATATACATTTACGGTATATAATATAGTGGACTATCAGGTTTTTTTCTACTATAAATGTTCGAGCCTGATGCTGTCATTACGTCAGCTGTTGCTATCAAAAGAAAAATTATTTTCTAAACCTTTTTAAAACCATCAGCTTGTGTTTAAAATTCCTTTATTGAGAATGCATTACTCAGTACTGCCAAACTGAATGATGCTTTACATGAAAACACATGTACAGTACGCTGCAGTAGAATAATAAAATGAAATGTAATCATGTTTTAGTTAATGGAGTGAGAAGAAAAGTGAAAGACAACTCTAATCAAACTGTTTTTGATTTATGATTTAAAGGAATTTAGGGTATCAGAGTATTTACAGTCCTCTGGAAGTTTGTTCCAGGTTAGTGGAGCATAAGAACTAAATGCTGCTGCTCCGTGTTTGGTTCTGGGTGTGCAGAGTAGATTTGAGCCAGAAGACCAGAGAGGTCTGGGGGGTTGATCTACTGATTGCATGTCTGTAATGTATTTTGGAGCCAAGCCACTCAAGTGATTTACAGACTAACAGAAGTATTTCAAAGTGTAAGGTACAGAGAGCCAAGCTAAAGACGAGAGCTCGGGTAATGGGCTTTACTTTTTCAGTTCATTTAGAGATAAACACATGGATGCTGAGACAGCCGTCCTTTATCCTAGAGATATTCTTCATATAAAGGCCATCTTTGTTCCTATCTTTATGTGCCTCTGAAGCTTTGAATTCATAACTGCTCCCAGATTTCAGGCCTAATCAGAGGTTTCTTGCATAAATCTTCCCTGTTTTGTTTTTATTAAGCTGAAGAAACCAATGTTAGATAGAGCTTTTAGTCATTTAATAGTAACATATCCTGTTTATTATAATCCTAAAGGCGCCCCCATGGTGAAGGGGCTCAAATCCTGATAGCAACTTGAAGGACATCCAGTCAAGTCATGACATTCTGTGGCGATCCCTGAATATCGGAGCAGCCGAAAGGACACAAACATCTTATAATCTGAGTTAGTGGGGGCATGTGGAGATTAAATGGGAGGGGCCCCCATTTGGAACCCCCAGTTTTTAAGGAGGATTTGGCAGTCTGAAAATATTTCAAGCGCAAAAGACTAAAGCATCCATATCATCCATCTTTGTAATATAATGCTGTGTAAACTGTTATTGGTAATTTATGGAATAATTCCAGTATTACCTGAATTCCCAACCAGCAAAATCATATAATTAAACAAGGTATGCTATTCTGCACAAAAAACTAATTTGCTTAACAATGATGAACTGATTTTTACATAAAACACGTATCAAAACCACGCTGGCTAATTTTCCGTTAGGCGCTTCGAACATTTACGTCAGAAAACATCATCGGCTTGTTTTAACAGCAAGATAAACAGAAAATACAACAAAATACTGTTATCTGCTATGACAGGGGAGCATTGGTTGAGAAACCTAAGAATGATTTTTAAAAATAGTCTCAGATCGCAATAGATTAAATAAATTTACCTTCAAAATGTGTTTTTTTCCCCTTAGATTTTAAATCTAAACTTCATCGTCATTCTTTCCTTTCACACATGCAAAAACAATCTGATCATTTTAGCCTGTAAAACATCAATTAATATTGACTGAGATTGTTAAATGAAAAGATGTAAAATTCAAATTTTTTTTGACAAAACAGTAATGAAGTCGGAAGGAAAGAACCAACTTAGTAATCGGATACAAAGACGATGGGTGAATGATTCTGAGGCAGAAAACATCTAGAGGCACCGGAGAGAGCAAAGATGGCAACATCAGGCAGTTGCTGAATCATCCGACAGTCCAAACATTTGCATAATTTATCCGTCTGTGGTTTCAACTGCCTTTAAAATGGATAATCTTGTCTGATTTCCGAATATGGTTTTAACAGTTTAGTCATTAAATGTGTAAGTATCATAAATGGGGCTGCAACTAAGGATTATTTTTTAAATCGATTAATCTGTCAGTTATTTTTAAGATTAATAATCGCATAGTCAAAGATTGTTTAAAGAAGACCTTTTTACGAAATTAAGCCAGGCAAAGTCAAACAAAGTTCTGGACAGAATGCAAAAGATATAAATATATATATCTATATATCTTAGAAATATAAGATAGATTTTTGGTTTTACAATTTTTGTTTAATTAGTGCTCTAAATGAGTCGCTCTGTCAGCTAATAGAACGTTTTAATGTATGCTCCAGTTAATGATAAAACAATTACTAAATTAGTGGATTATTACAACAATCGATTAATCCAATTAACAGTTTCAGCCCTAATCATAAACCTTTGATTAGTAATATATTCTATCCCTTAATTAAGAATATTTGTGTTTATACAACTATCTTTCTGCCATTATCCTTTATCTCGATTGCTTTTTCATTAACATGCCACCAAAAAGTCTACAATCTCCCTTAAATGCATGTTAGCTTATAATTTTTGCAGGTTATTATTATTGGAAATGATACAAAAAAAAGTGTCAGTTTTTCCACCACTAAAAAAATAAAATCAGAAAAAGCATTTTGGTGATGCAGCTCTCACAGCTCGTGGCTGTAGACGTGATCTTCAAACACGGACTGCTCCATGGTGTCACAGATCATCGTGCAGAACGGACACACTCGGTGACTCTGCTCGTGCTGCTCCAGCTCCTGCTGCGTGATGCCGGGGAAGCTCTCCTGGCAGTGACGGCACACCATCACCTGCTGCCAACGGGGGACAGAAATAAGGTGTCATGAAATACGGGCGGATTACGGTTATAGGTCCACTTTAAAAATAAAGCAGTAAACAGTGGCTCATGTGGCACGGGGTCATGTTTGCAGAAGGATGTTTTTATTCATCTGTTTTGGAGGTGAGAGGATAGCCTGGAGCTCTGCAGATTACATGGAAGAGTTTAAACATATGTTTTCCAAATAAAAGAGGAATCTGTGACCATTAGACATTGTGTAAACCTGTTTATGTATAATTTATCTAAAATTCATTTTAATAGTCATTTCCTTGTAACCTTACGCCTTCAACCAGTCATGATCCAAAGAGATGAACCATTTTTTCTACCAGCAGCTTCTCACAAAGACAAAATTTGTTCCATTTCTTTATTTAAATCAGATCCAGTTACAAACTTTAACTCTTTGTAGGACCCTCAGTGAAATACTTTGACATTTCAAGTCAAGAGTTTTATTAGAGGACAGAACTATTTTATCACTTATGTGACATAAAAAAAGGCAAACAAATGTAATGCCAATTTAATTACCAAAAACAGTCACTTGCCTTTACCATGGTAAAATTAAATGTGTAAAAAACAGAGGTACAACATAACCATCAGAAGATTAATACAGATACAGGAACTGAATTATTTTATTTCTTAACTTAGCTGATTACGTTTTTGAACTTTTTTTTTGTACTTCATTTACATTCGGTAACATATGAGACAAAGTAGGTGTTATTATTGCGCTCGGCTTTAGGACAAAGCTGGGTTTAGCTGACAACATTTGACCTCTAGATTTTGCTGCATATCATGTTTACGTATTTCCAAGTTTCAAAGAGATGGTAAAAATACTGTTCATCAGCTGAAGATTTTTTTTTTGTTGTGTTTTCAATCTAACATTTCTGCATCTGTCACCTATTTACCAATTTCCTTTTTTTTAATCCCATACCCACATTGTGCTATGGTCAGGTGCAGGGATAGAAAAGCTGGTTGTTAAAGGGGGGGGGATTGTCTCCTGTAATACCTGAAACCTGTCTATGATTAATGACCGACCCTCAGAATCATAGACAGGTTTGAGATATTACAGGCTAACAATGGAACCAAACAACCCACTCATTGGTTACCATTTGCATGTTTCCAAGCAATACAAGGCTTTGTCTATATA